ACGGATGAAATTTTGACCTGAAAAATGCCCATACAGTTATGCCAACCGATTAGAACACATGTACGAGGTGCATAACCACCACGTGGAGAAGACCCCCGCTTCGTTGGGATCTCTACCCGTACATATCGATTCAGTTTCGACACAGGGAACGACAGACAGAGTTCGTTCTCTCGAGTGAGACTCCGTGGTTCAGTCCAGTACCTGGGCTAGTGACTTGATCCATGCCCAGATCCTACTGCCACAGCATAGTTTCCAACGGATGAAGTAGATTCCCCAACCCGAAATCGAGACAAAAGAGTCGGCTAACACTTCCCTAACAACACATGATGCACAAGATATTTTCTCGAGGAAGCGTGGCACGAATCACAGAGTCTTGCCATGTGTATGGATTTTCTACTACACGCGCGTCACGCGAACATGCGTGGAGAACACAAACAATCTACATAGCATAGATTACCCAATATGTCTAGCGCAGAGTTGACATTTGCCGAAACCGGATTGTGAGGGGTAGTCAGCGTCCCAGTCGGTATTACCGAATTTGGCCAGATTGTTTCGTCGGCGGACTCGGGTGTTGGCTGCTTGTTGTCTCGAAGATTGGTGAAGGCATTTTTCGAGTTTCCACCGCACGTGACTGAGTTAGTCCGGAGGGGTTGAGTGATCTGTTCCTCTGTCCTGTTATTCTTCTTCAGCTGCTGCCTGTTGAGAGTACACAACCACAAACTCCAACCACGGTGCTTGCGTTGCCATTCGAGCACGGTGAAGGGGTCTTCGAGACAAATCTACCACACCGGCGGGCACAGGCTTGCTGAGTTTGCCCCACCGGCGTTGGCAGCACCAAAAACGAGCTCTTCAGGCTTGATGATAAGCCCCACGACAGCCCAACCACACACCAACACAGTTTTGCATGTTCCTGTGTCGATCGAAGTCTTTGAGGGCGAGATTCAGGTGCCGGGGTAGTCGAGGCTTTATACCCTACCTGTGGGGTAGCTTCGAAACTTCCCCCACCAGCCATCGCAGTGCTAATACTGTATTGTTTCAGGTTCGCGACGGGTACCATGATAGCCCTGCAACGGAGTAACGCCATGGTACATGCCATGTGTCGATTAGAGCCTCATAGGGCAAGATACAGCTGGTAGGGTATATATGTAAGGCTTTCCTACCCCACCGGTGGGGTATTTGGACATGCCATTAAATATGGTAGATCACTGGGTTGACCGGGTTTTGTATTCTGTGGGGGTGTTATATCTTGTATTACCCGGGTGATCAAGTGCAGGTCGCGGGAGCCACGAAGGGGGTGTCGGGACCAAGGGGATGGAATGCCACATATCGCAAACTTGCAGTTACTGAAGTTGTGTAGGAAGGAGGGGGGGTGTTAGCACCGCCTGCCAACAACTTCCTACCGTGCATGCGGCCACACGTACGGGGGCGTACATTATTTTAGCGGGGGGGGGGGGGG